CACACGACAGAAATTATGGCCTTCTCCAAACTCAGCCTGTTTGGATGGATTTAACTGGAGATTTGACAAGTTGATGGGAGAGTTGTGTGCTTGCATTTGTAAATGGACGGGGCTCCACATGTGTCAGAAAAAGAGGGCAAAGGAGAGATAAATGGCTTAGGAGGATTTTAGAGAAATTCCAAAAAGGGGAGTGTGTGCTGTATGTTCTTTAAGTGAGGAGGAGGAAGAAGAGGGGTCCTCCATGTCATCCTTTCACCCGTGCTGGATGCACAGGGGGCTTACATGTGTGTGTGCACAGCTGGAGGGCGGATGGGGCGAGGAGTGTGTATATGCAGGGAGGGGAGATATGAGAGATGGGTGATGGGCTGGGGTGGAGGAGGGAAGGAAGGCAGAATGCGAAAGAAAAGAAGACAGAAGGGAAGTTGTCTGACAAAGGAGAGATGGGGGGGGAGAGAGAGTACTTGTGCTCCATGAATTAGGTTTCTGTTGGGGTTGGAATCTGTGGCTTCAAAGGAGCTTAAAACTGTGGCTTTAAGGCTCTTCCACCACCTGTGTTCTTTTGGCAAGGTTGTTTAGTCCTCCACAGCAGCCATTTTCTAGCGGTGGCTTAGGGACAGTTCTCAATTTTCCAGATGTGCCAACAAGCCCTAAAATGTTGTTTTCCCCATAGTGTATACCATACGTGATTGGATTTGAAATATTCTATACTTTTAATCTTCAATATGTGAGGAATACAGGATGATGCATGAGTCAATACAGCAATAATATGCCAAACAATTAGTTACTTAGAACATTGACAAAATGTCAAGATTAATTCTTTTCCACAGTGCTGGAAGCTGCACAAGTGTAATACACTCCTTTAGGCCAGATTTCATTAAAAGTTTGATTGTCTCTTTCTGTTAGGGTTGCTATATTGCATATATTCCAATCCAAGCAGGAGCTTCTGCATCGCATAGCATGGATATGTGTGCCAGTTATGCAAATTTTATTCTGATTTTGTATGGAAAGTGTACTTTTCCCATTTTTGAACATTTAGGGCACAATCTTATTCATGCTTAGAGAGGAAAAATGTTCTAAGCATGCATAGAACGAGTGCATGGCTTCTGCATGCAGCTAGATGCTGGGTTTGGGCTGGGCATAGGGTCGAGAAGACATTTTATCCTGGCTGGTCTTTGTTGCAACCTGAGTTGTGTTTTATTGGGGTTATTGTTGGCTAGGAAGAAAGCTTGCCTATCAACATGGAATATGATGATGTAGGGTGTGGTGGTGGTGGTGACAATAATCTTTACTCCACATTGTGAAGCACTATTTAATAAACCTGGAGCAGTTTCCAGTACTGGCAGTCCACCGGTGCTTAACAGGTTGCACTAGTGGGACCAATGACTAGCACAACAGTGGTTGCTGCTGCTGGAGCTTCTGTTTCTGGAACAGGGCAGCCAAGCTCTCTGCTGTGCTCTCTGCCAAGTTCCAGAGTTGGAGTAGCAAATACTACTCTCCCATTGCCCATTAGGGCAATGGTGCCATTGGCCACTGCAGCTAATGCTCAAAGTACGCACACATGTTTGGTTTCCCTTCCCCTTCCCAGACTTATGTTCCAAGTTGTGCCTCCTACCATTTGCCGACAAATTGTTCTCAGCATTATTTAAAGCCATTTAAACAAGCACAATGTATTAGTCACTGCTGTCAGGAATGCAGGGAAAGCGATTCTGCTTGTGTCTTTGGATATGCAGTTTCAGTGCTGTCCAGCCCTGCGTGTGTCAGGACTGCTGCCAGCCTCTGTGATCCAGATTCTGGTTCTGGAAGCAAAGGAGCATTTATTCCACTTTTCAGCCAGTGCCTTTTTCTCACACTGGAGGAAAGGAGCCCAGTTCCTTCCTTCAGGGAGCATATCAAGAATGCTATAATGCAATGCTTCTCCCATCTGATTTCACTGAATCTGGTCTGAATCTGGATAGAGCTGAAGTGTATTAAAGTGGAAGAATAAAAAGAAGCCACTTTTGTGTGAGTGGTAATAAATGAAAAGCCATCAGAGCCTGCCTTCTCCTCCATGCAACCTGTTCTTTCTGACTATCCTTCTCCATCCACCTTATCCACACCACCCGGTCTGCTCTTTTTCACTTGTTCTTCCTCCTCTTGGAGTGCTGGCAATGAAGCCTGAGCTTAGGACTTGGAGTATCTCCATGCAAGTCTTTTATTATGCCACCACTCTGCCACCTTCAAAGAATTTTATGGGTAGTGGTGATGTGCAGATGTCATTGTCCTCCCCTCTTAACCCTCCCCTGCTTTCCCACTACTTTCTTTCCTTCTTTATTGCCTCACAGCAGAACACCCATTCAGAAGTAAAAGCTGGAATAGCTACAATAATTCCTCATTTGGCATGTTTGCTTTTCAGTTTTCCAGCTTTACTCATTCATATCTATATGGAGTGGGATATAACTAAAACCTCAAAGGAAATATACTCTGGAACAGCTACACATCAGTAGGTATGCTGCTTTCTAAGCATAACCAACGTTCTAACTGTGACTAAGCAGGCAGAATATGGGTGGCAGGCTGACTTAGTGGCGCAATTATCAGCAGCGTGTCCATGACTGAGATGCTCAGCACATAGTTAAACCACAGAATTTGCCATCACAAGATGTAGTGATGGCCAGCAATTCGGGTGGCTTTCGAAGGGGTTCTAGATGGATCGGAACAGTCTTGTGTCCTGTGCACCAAATGTGCAACCAGCTGCTCCCAGCCAGAAACCCCAGAAGCAGGGCATGAGAGCAATAGCATCCTGCCCCCCTGTTTCTGAGGACTATGTGTTCTTGGGCACCTTGCCTCTTCTTTGCCATGGGGAGGGGCCCTTGGTGCCACAAGGACAGGCCTTTGTGCAGATGCCTGAGGACCCCACGTGGAGCAGAGCTGGCTTTTCATATCCTGAAGTAAATGAAGTCAAGCACATTAGCATTAAAAAGCAGAGGAGAACTGGAAGACCATCAAGTCCAAGGACAAGACAGTATATGGGGAACTCTCCATACGTGAGTGGAAATCTACTGCACCTCCTTCTGGTGGTTTTAGCCTTTATCCATGTATGGCTATGAGGGCTACTTTTTAAAATGTTAAAGTTCAGGAGGATATTAACTTGTGCCCCTGCACAGATGTTTGCACTAAAGGAATACCTCATCAAGCCATGCACAAATTTCTCTAGATTTGTTATCACTATGTTAGTTCCTTTGTTTTTGGAAGAAATCTTAATGAATGTGCAGCCATATGGGACATTAAGACCTGGTTCCTGGTAGATTTAACTGCACTGAAACTTGCCTGAGAGAAATCGAGAGCAAGTTAATGGGAAATGGTAGTGCTTTGATTTTAAAATGCAATATAAACATCTGAAGGAAAAGAAATAGCTCCGTATCAGTTCTTCTTGATTATAGATCTGTGTGGCTATGTTGAAAGGCTTGCATTTCACATGTGTGGAACTGGTGGAAAATATGAGAGCTAGAAATAAGTAAGCTTTTGTCATCCAATGCAAATGAGTTCATGTAAAACAGTCCTTACAAACCTGATAAAGATATGAACATTCCTAAAAATGTTTAATATATTCATTCCTGTATGGGAAACCTCTAATCTGTGGCAAGCCTGTCTCATCCCATTCCCAGCTGTATGAGAGGCAGAGTCACTGGAAGAAAATATAATTCTTGATATGCTGTGTACTTTTCAGGATCCTTAACTCAGCCCACACTCCAGAATCACTCCCACATGGGGCTAAAGACTGCTAGGAAACATGTCCCTCCATCTAGATCAGGGGCCAATTGCCGGGACAGGCGGGGCACAGGGGAGGGGCCCTGCGGCCTTCAAAGCGCCGGCAGCACCCGGGCCGGCCTCCGGGAGCCACGCGGGATGAGCGGCCCACCACCACCGCGAGGGTGGAATACTTGATGCGGCCCAGCCTCACCCAGACTCTACTTCCAGCGGCCCCCAGGTAAGTTGTGTTTGAGACCCCTGATCTAGATACTTTGCCTCAACAGCAGCTGCATATAATGAACAACTGCATTATGCAGTCTCTCTCTCTCTCTTTTTCTCAAGAAGCTGTAAAAAAAAAAAAGACATGTGGGGAAGAAGCAGCTCCAATGGTAAAAGCAGAAAGTACATGAAATCTGGGCCAGACACCCCACTGGGAATAAAGCTCAGTTGCTGCTTTCCAGAACTGTTTTTTTCCTAGTTAGGTTCTGCATGAGTTTCCACTGCTCCCTCTACAGGAATCTGAGAAATTCTGGGTGCTTTATATTTTACCTCATTTATTCCAAAGTCATGCTGTAGATGTCTAAAGGTATCCTGTCCTAAGACAGTTTTAGGAGGGCAGGCAAGAAGCAGCCCCATCCCATCTCCCCCAAAACTAGCTCTGGCTGAAGGAAACATCATGATTCTTTAAGTCCTGAGACTATGGCAGTTGCCCAGGCAACACAGCAATACCTGTCTTTCTGGAGAATAGGAAGCCGTTACCAGGGCAACGGCATCCTGTCTTTCCAGAGACCATCTTGCAATGTGGAAACTGCAGTTTCCATAGTAACCTTTTTGTCCCAGTTATTTTTTTACTTGCAGGGTTTAATTTGCTTTAATATATATCCACTGGATTTTTTAAAGGGGCTTCTCCTTCAAGACTCTTCTGTTTTCCAGCTCAGGATGTAGTTTCCTCAGTCACAGAGCCAGGGCGTTAGAGAGCTGTGAAAGTGGCAGGAGAAGCAGGTGTTTGGGAAGCAGTTACCCAGGCAACAGAAGCAGGGCGTTCCAGAGGTGGTTGCCATGGAGAACTGGATGCTGACGAAGGCTTGTGAGGCTGAGAAGACAAATTGCCCTCATCATTATCTCCAGGCTTGTCAATCATACATATTCGCTTATTTACCTCTGAGAGGGAGAGACTGCTAGGAGCAAAGCAAAAAAACCAAGAAAGTGTGTGCTTGGAAGAGGACAGGTGTCTGTGCAAAACTTCACGCCCAGGGAGGCAGTCACCGTACAGGATGGCAACCATCACCTGCAACCGGTTCACAGAAGAATATCAGCTTTTTGAAGAGCTGGGGAAGTAAGTTTGAGATCGATCAGGCGTGCTTGCAGGAATTGCGTCGGAACTGAATGGGAATACTGGGCTGTAGAGGAGTACGTGTGTTGGGTGCGGGGGATGGAGCCATCAAGCAGAATGGGAACAGCTGGCATCCCTGGGGAAAGAAAAGGCAATGGAGTGAGCAATAAAACAAACTCACGGGAGAGCATGAAAATGCGGGCTCTAAAGAAAGGAAAAGGGGGAGGCTAGAAAGAAGGACCAGTCCTGGGAGCTGGAAAACCTTTTCAGCTCACTACTAAAATTAGGGGTCCATATTCCTCCACTTTTGAAAGACAATGGAGATAAGCATGGGAAGGGTTAAAATCTCTCTCTCTCTCTCTCTCTCTCTCTCTCTCTGTGTGTGTGTGTGTGTGTGTGTGTGTGTGTGTGTGTGTGTGTGTCTGCCGCCTGTTGTTCAGAGGTGACCCGAAGAGGCAAAAGGGCTCTATAGCCATGCTTCACAATTATACTGTTTTGGGAAGTTTAGGTGCTTGATTTGGCCAGCGAAGACCAACTTCCTCAGGAAGTTGCTGCTGTTTTCCCAGGGAATGGTGCTTTGTAGAGGGGTCCTACCGAATAGCAGCCATCCCATTGCTTATTTCCCCAAGCCCCATGGGATAGTGATGTGTACAGACATGCATGAAACCTGTTTGTAAAAAGCAGCCACAGGGGTGAAACAGAGACGGTGGGTGAGAGCGTGTCAGCTGAGTTTTGTGAGAGCATAATAACAGATGGGACTGTGCTTCATTTTGCATATTGAACCACATCTTTGCATGCGCAACTTGGTTTGCTTCTCTGTTTTACTGTCAGCTTGCAAACCTGTTTGCTCAGTATGTGCTTTTGTGTGGGAGTGTATGAGAACGTGTGAGTTTTTATATGCACTTTGCTCTCATTGAAGGTTGTGTCAATCCACTTTCCTGGATCAAATCAAGTGCATAACAAGAGATGCATATATCGTTAATGTGCTGGCAATGTGTGTGTATTTTCATCTAAAAGTGTAGCTTATCTTCAGATTTGGCAGGTTATTTCCTCTAAATGATTCCTAAATATGTGCATGCATAAATTCTATGTAAGTTTGTGTACTTTTTGAACCATGAATAATTCTGTACCAAGCGTCTCTATATATATCCCCTTGTTTTTTTCTCTGCTATTTGTGTGCATTTTTCTGTGTTTGCAGCATTTGGAGATATGTGCTTCTGATTTGAATATGTAGGTGTGTCTGTTTGCTGGCTTTGGTGTGTCTGCAAATGTACATACTGATACTTTGTGTGCATATACATATTTGCACACAAATAGCTGGATTTTGGGATGTGTGTAGTTGTACAAGTATGCAGAACTGGGGGAAATATTCAGGAACCACAATGGAACCAAGAAGGGAAAAAATTGACTTCTTTATTTACAGTGGTTAGCACATGCAGATTAAAGTAGGAGCCAAGACCAAGTGTATTAGATTCAGTAGGAATCAGCTCCAAAGAAGTTGGCAGAGCTGAATTATTTTAGACTACCAGTGTACATGAATCCCTCTCATATGTGTGCACTGGTGTAGTTATACGCAGAATGTACTTGCATGTGGTTAATCAGACCTTGTATTTATTTTCCAAACATTTGGGTGATTGAGTCATGCAGGGGTGGTAAATGATGAGTCAATGGACAGATCTCTGCAATAAGTAGAGGCAAGGCTTTATTTCAGTCCTGGAAATGAGCGTTTTTCTTCCTTAAAAGATACCTGGGAAAGAGTTGAACCGATTCCTTCATGAGCCTTCTAATGTTTCTCCTCCACCACCTCACACAGTCCTCATGCAGATGTGTGAGGGGGGTTAGGACTGTGTTTCTGCAAAGTGTTCACAAGGGCTACTGGTTTAGATGAAGAGATGAGAAGGAGCTATGCTTAAATGGTAGCTGGTTCAAAAAGGTAGCTTTCAAGAGATGGCCATTAAGGGTTCCAGCTGTAGTTCAAAAAGCCCATTTTCGTTGGTGGCCTCACAGTATGGCCATCAGCATTTATCATTGCTGTTGTGTTTTTTTTAATTACATGGGGGTCCTTGCACACCCTGTTACTTCACCCTGCACTTCACTTAAGAAATCCTGTAAACAGCAGGGTGTGGTGAAGCCTCCATTTTTCCTCCTCCTCTGTTCAGGCTCAGGTGGTGAGGGAGAGCAAAACCAGGGGATTGTTGCCATACAGGATCCCATGGGTCACTGTATGTGCCTATGGCTGAGAAACGTATCAATGGTGACGCAGGAAAGAGAGGATAAAATTGCATGGAAGACAACCGTGTCTTTGCAAATCTGTCCCTAAACATGTTTCATGTCAAGGCTGGACATTCCCAGATAAATTTTGGGCACTGAAGTACATTGTTAGGATGTTGTCTGGAAATAACTTCACAACCTATACTCAGTATGGTTGCGAAATGTCCAGGTTCTCTGAAGATGGGCAAACAAATGGAATTTGCTGCAGCTCACTTTTCCTGAGGTGAGCTTGCGCAATGTGTGATGAGGTTGCATATATCTTCATCTTCAGATATTTGAGATCCACTCATATGTAGGTTATTGTCAGAAACTGTCCACCTTCTTAAAAAACAAACAAAAAGCCAAAGAACAATGTATTTGCATCATGAAAACTTATCTTCACACCTATATTGGTAACTCATACCCTTGTAATCAGACTAATCTGCTGGCAAAGGATCCTCTGTAGTGAAAATTATTTGAACTTAGAAGAGTGGGCTACTATCAGTATATTTTGGATAGGTCATCTTTAGTATTATTAATATGAGTTATATTTGCTGTGGAAAGGCCTCATGTAAGCCTTCTTCAAGGTGGTGGGATGTGGTGTCCCATCACTATCAGCATTCCCGACCCTTGTTCATACTGTCTGGGGTTGAGGGAGGTTGAAGTCCAAAACATGAGTGGAGCACCAGGTTGGAAAGGGGAGGCATAATGTCATGGCCTTCAGACATTGTGTAATTATGTAACTGAAAAACAGTCAGTGCAGAATAAGTATATGTTCTCATTTCATCCATAAGGTGATAACGGGCTTATAAATCTCCCCAGGTTGAAGGTGAGAATATATTCTCCCTACTAAAGCTTTTGTTATCCTCTCCAAACACTATTATTATATGACTGTTTGAAAAATCCCACACACCACCAGATACAGTGTATTTGTTAACTGCAAAATGTTGTGAGTGGAGGGTGGTAAATCAAGTTGGTGGTGAGCTCTGCTATTTGTGTTATATAAGACAAAGATGTTCCAGGTTGAAAAAACAAAGCAACGTTCTAAGTATATTTTGGCAGGCTGGAAAGACTGAAAAGAAAGCACAATTAAAGAAAGCACATTCCCTTAAAGGGGACAGGATAAAATGCATTGGATGTATATCTTTCCAGGGTTCTGCGATGAACATAGTAGTTTAAGATATCAAATAAATTTATCATTCAGCATTTATTTGCTCTTTAGATTGGACTAAAAGTTGAGGATTTTGTTTTTATTTTGGCTGAAGTAAGTTTTTGGATTCACCCAAAATCAAAACAAAACAAAAATGAAAAACTGATCAGTTGAATATAATCCATCTGTTTATGATTTACCTACCTTATTAATTTAGAAATATTTTAAACTGAATATATTTTCAGGTGACCATATCGTATGGTCATAAAAGAACACTTTCAGAACTTATCTTTAAAAGGACACATACAGCTTCAGTTAGTAAGAAGCAGCCACAGTTGCGTTTCCTGAGCTGTTTCTGGCATGTTCATAGTACATGCAATGACTCTGCAGCAAATTCCAGTGGCAGGTTTTCCAGTGCCCTTGGCACAGAGTTGTGGGTGGGAAAATGTTGGAGTTTATATAGTTGGTAATGTTTGCATGGCTATGTTGATGGTTTTGAACAGCCATCAGTTGCCATTAAGCAAACTATTGTAACACAATCATTTTAGCATTGCAGTAAGCTGCCCAGGGCAGCATCACTTTGTATAGGTGGGTTAGAAAGACTGACAGTTGCTTTAGTAAAGTATAGGCCAATTTGTTTTATAAGGCAGAAGGGGACCTGCAAGGATCAGGAATGCTGAGCCAGAACATCCGAATCCTCTGTTCACAAGTGAGCTCAGTGCACAAGTCACTTGTGCACAAGTCACTAATGCAGCTCAGGCTTTCTGGGGGAACCAGTTTGAAGTAGCTGAACTTACATGAGGGGCAAGGCCTTTCAGGCCCTTGGACAGATCCAGAATGTGTTCAGGGTGCACTTTTGTCCCAGCAACATACAGAGGCCTATTGAGGACCTATGAAGGTTGGCTACTAGTGCCCCCCGCAACCTCCCGAGTTGCTGGCTACTCCGTAAATGGTCCAGCTGTGGCACTGTTGTCTTCTAAGGCATTGCAGAGATGCTCTCCAGCTATAAGGAGCCTGGTAAAGTCATGTCCTCCAGCTTGGAAGGTCCTGGAGTAGCAGATGATGAGTTGCTGGATGAAGCCTTCCCCCACCCCCAGTCCTCCTTTGAGCCAGAAGAAGCCAGAGAACATGATGGGGGCCTGATAGTCCCCTACGGGTCACTGCTAGTCCAAAGAGGCTAGCAGCATCGGTGCGGAGAGCACACCAGCCCTTTGCACTCAGCGGCACCCAAGACCTCCTGCTAGAGAGATGCTCCTTCCTCAGTGATCCCTTCCCATCTCACCACTTCCCCCCGGGGATGCCAGCAGCGGGCAAAGCGCTCCTAGGTCAAAGGGCTGGATTTCATGATGTGCTGTGTTCCTTCCAGCTTGGTGGTTCCAGTTTATCATAATACTGGCATATAAGTAAGAGCAGCATCCTGTGCCAGTCCAGTCTAGCCTCAGTCAAGGCTCAGCCCCCAGCGGTCCAGGTGCTGTGCACAAAGCCCAGGCTAATTAGACAGCACTGAATTCCCTATCATTAGCTGCTGTTGTTACCCTGGCAGCAAAGCACACCTTGCCAAGCTGATATTCCTGATAGCAGTCCTTGCATCCAGTACATCAAT